CCTCTATAATGCCCATTTTTACCCCATTTTCCCCATTTTTTTTTTCCATTTTTACCCATTTTTTCCCATTTTCCCCCATTTCCTCCCCGTTCCTCACTCACCATGACCTGGAAGGGGCTGTTGGGGATGTGCTCCCCCCGAACCTCACACAGATCCCAGATTTCCCTCCATAATCCCCATTTTTTTCCCATTTTCCCCCCATTTTCCCCCCATTTTCCCCCGTTTTTTCCCTTTTCCCCCCGTTCCTCACTCACCATGACCTGGAAGGGGCTGTTGGGGATGTGCTCCCCCCCGAACCTGACGCAGATGACGTATTTCCCGGGCTGCGGCGCGGTGTAGAAGATGTCGAAGGTGCCGTCGGGGTTCTCCACCACGTCCACGTCCACCTCGGAGCCGTCGGGCGTGCACACTGAGCAGGTGACCTTGCCCTTGCCGGCCGCCTTGGCGTCCACCGTGATCAGCGTCTGCTCGCCCAGCTGGATGGTGGGGCCCAGGCCCCGCCCTAAAGGAGCCGGGGGTCAGGGACCAGAAACCCAAAATGGGACAAAAAACCCCAAAATGGGGCCAGGAACCCCAAAATGGGGCCAGGAAGCTCAAACTGGGACTCATGTGGGGACATCTGGAACACGAATCCCAAAACGGGGCCAGGAACCCAAAATGGGGCCAGGAACCCCAAAATGGGGCCAGGAATCTCAAAATGGGACAAAAAAAAACCAAAGTGGGGCCAGGAACGCCAAAATGGGGCCAGGAATCTCAAACTGGGACTCATGTGGGGACATCTGGAACACAAATCCCAAAACGGGGCCAGGAACCCAAAATGGGGCCAGGAACCTCAAAATGGGACCAGGAATTCCAAAATGGGGCCAGGAACCTCAAACTGGGACAAAAAACCCCAAAATGGGGCCAGGAACCCCAAAATGGGGCCAGGAACCCCAAAACGGGGCCCATTTGGGGACATCTGGAACAGGAACCTGAAACAGGACTAGGAGCTCCAAAACGGGACCAGGAACCCCAAAATGGGGGCAGGAACACCAAAATGGGGCCAGGAACCCCAAAATGGGGCCACGAACACCAAAATGGGGCCAGGAACATCAAAATGGGGGCAGAAACACCAAAATGGGGCCAGAAACACCAAAATGGGGCCAGGAACCCCAAAATGGGGCCAGGAACCCAAAATGGGGCCAGTTTGGGGACATCTGGAACAGGAACCCATTGGGGATCCCAAAACAAGGACAGGAACCCCAAAATGGGACCAGGAACCCCAAAACTAGGACAGGAACCCCAAAATGGGACCAGGAACCCCAAAACAAGGACAGGAACCCCAAAATGGGACCAGGAACCCCAAAACAAGGACAGGAACCCCAAAACGGGACCCATTTGGGGTCACCAACACCTTTGGAGCCTTTGGGGTCACCATGATGGAACCCCTTTGGTGGCCCCAAAACGGGATCCCATCATTAATTTTGGGGGCTCCCATCATTAATTGAGTTTGGGGGTCCCTCATCTTTAATTTGGGGGGGTCCTACATCATTAAACTGGGGGGGGTCTCATTAATTGAGGTCATGGGGGTCTCCCTTCATTAATTGAGAACATGGAGATCTCCCATAATTTATTTTAGAGGGTCCCCCATCATTAATTTTGGGGGGTCCCCATCATTAATTTTGGGGGTCTCCATCATTAATTGAGTTTCGGGCTGTCTCATCAATAATTTTGGGGGGTTCCCCATCATTTAACTCGGGTTCCTCCCACCCCAAACCCCCTCCCAGCCCGACCCTCACCCCCTCCCCTGTTTCCCTCCCCTTCCCCTCATGCAGGGACATTTTTGGGGTGCGAAGGGGGCTCGATTTTGGGGTGCAAAGGGGGGGTTTTGGCCATGCTCCCCCCCCCCAAACCAAGCCGTGCTCTTACCTAAGCCGTGACCTCCGATGGAAACTACAGCGTGGGGGGGTGGGCGT